AGGAGACAATTACATAGAAGCGAGCGGAATAGATGAAGTTGACATAGGAAACGAAAGCTGCAGAATCACATTAAAAGAGGTGTTATATGTGCCAGCTCTCAAAAGTAATTTCGTGTCGGTAAGCAAGGCAGTACAGAATGGTTTGACTGTCAATGTTGCTAATATGCAGTTAATAATAAAAAACAAAAGTGGTACTGTCCTCATGAAAGCAAAAGAGTGTTGCGGCTTATTCGTATTTGAAAATAAATTAAATACGTGTTTTAAATTAACAAATGACAATAGCAATATATTAGACTGGCACAATAAATTCGGACATTTAAAGTTTCAAAGTTTAAAAGAAATGTGTAACAAAAAGTTAGTACACGGCCTAACATTGAAAAACATTCCAACAAAAATACAATGTACAACACGTGCGGAAAGCAAAATTTGCGTTAACAAATTTCCACACGAGACACAGAATCGTGCGCGAAAGTTATGTGAGATTATCCATACGGACATTTGTGGGCCTATAAATGAAAAGTCAATCAGAGGCTCTCGATACTTTCTGACATTTATAGACGATATGTCCCGATATGTATGTGTTTATTTCTTGAAAAGTAGAGACGAAGTTTTTTCTGCATTTAAATCATTTAAAGCAATGACTGAAAAGCAAACGAATTGCCAAATAAAAATATTGCGTAGTGACAATGGTCGCGAATATTTAAACAAAAATTTTGAGAATATTTTAAATGAAAATGGAATTGTTCGCCAACTAACTGTGCCTCACACTCCTCTAAAAATGGTGTCGCTGATCGTGCCCATAGGACACTTGTTGAAATGGCAAGAAGCATGATTGTACACAGTGGGTTAAGTGAGTGCTTTTGGGCGGAGACAGTAGCAACTGCAGCTTATTTGCGAAACCGAGCTGCGACAAAATCACTCACGAGCTGTACTCCATATTAAGCGTGAACATGTAAAAAGCCAAGCGTCTCACATTTGAAGGTATTTGATTCACTAGCGGTCGCGATTGACAAAACAGAGAAGAGGAAATTCCAGCCAAAGGGTAGGAAGATGGTTATGGTAGGCTACTCAAATACTTTAAAAGCCTATCGATTATACGATCCAGTATCCAAAAAAGGGATCGTGTGTCGAGATGCCATTTTTGTCGATGGTACGTACGCCTCTCAAGAAGAAAATACTGGTGATATCGTTACTTTTGATACTGCAGATATAGTGACCGCAATGGAACCTTCTGTGACTGAAGACACAACTCTTGGTCATGACGTGAGTAGGAATTTGCAACCCACACGTGTTGGTCGAGGCAGACCAGCGTTTGTTCGCACAGGTAAGCGTGGGCGTCCTCGTAAAAGACGTCAAGTGCTCAATGTGATGAAAGCAGTTGACGTTGAAATTCCAAGAACTGTAGTTGAAGCCTTGAATAGTAAATACTCAAAGCAATGGACTAATGCAATGCAGAAGGAGTTCGACGCCTTGGTAATAAATAAAAAATGGTCTTTAGTTGATTTGCCTGCTGGGGAAAAGCCCATTGGTTGCAAATGGGTTTATTCTGTTAAACAAGATGCAGAAGGCAATGTGCAGCGATTCAAATCGCGGTTGGTCGCGAAAGGATGCAGTCAACAATTTGACATTAATTTCAGTGAGACATTTTCACCTGTGGTTAGGTACGCAACAATTCATTTGGTGATTGCTCTAGCCTGCGAGTACATTTGCACTTGCATCAGATTGACGTTTCGTCAGCGTACCTGAATAGTGAACTTCAAGACAAGGTTTATATAAAGCAACCCGAAAAATTCGTTAACGAGCAGCTCCCAAATCGTATCTTAAAATTAAATAAGGCACTCTACGGCCTAAAGCAAAGTGGGCGTGAGTGTAATGGCAAGCCCAATGCGGTCTTAAAAATATGGGCTTTACGCCGTGTGCTAGCGAACCATGCGTTTATATAAAAAACAAACAACGCAAATACAACATCATAGCAGTTTACGTTGATGATCTTCTGCTGGCCTCTTCCAACTTGAGAGATCTGAACGATATCGAGACTAAAATCTCAAAAGAGTTCGATATTCTAGATGGTGGACCAGCGAAATACTTTCTCGGGATGGAAATTGAGCGCGATGGCGATGTGGGTAATATTGCTATTAGTCAGCGTCAATATATTTACGATTTGTTAATGCAAAATGGTATGGAAGAGTGCAAAGCTGTATCAAAACCACTAGAAGTTGGATTTCAAACAAGCTGCGACAAAGATGCATGCTCTAAGGTGAATAGAACTGAGTACCAATCGCTGATCGGCGCGCTCGTGTACCTTGCAATATCCACCCGCCCAGATTTTTTACACTCAGTATCTAAACTGGCGCAACGCAATACTGACCCACATATAGAACATAAAACTGCCGCAAAGCATATCTTGCGTTATTTGAAAGGGACAGCTGAGTTCAAACTGCATTACAAAAAGACAGATCGTTCAATTGAATGTTTCGTCGATGCTGATTGGGGGGAGATGCGAGCGTCCGAAAGTCATACACTGGTAGTGCGTTTATAGCTGCTAGAGCCGTTACTTCGTGGGAGTCGAAGACAGTGTTGGGAAATCAGATTCTTCCTTCAGTACGAAATCCATACAAAAATTGTACTTTTCGATTGTAAATTGTATCGACCGTTTAATTTGCTCATACATTTTCTTAATTATGTATGTATGTACATTAGACTGCATCACCAAAAAAAGTTGCGGCTT